CCAAATTGTCTTAAAGCTAAGCAGGGGTTATAGGTGATACCTCCCCTAATGCCAAGTAAAGAGATATTAGGGAATTCTCCACAATGGTCGAAAATAGTAACATTCTCTATAGATCGGGAACACCAATGAATGTCTGAATGTTTGAGTGTCATCAACCTATGTGATCACCTTGAACCTTGCTCGTTCTTCAATACAGATTAGGGAAGATGCGAAATAAACCATCTTACCAAGAGAGGAGTACAACACATAAGGACACCTCTTTTCCTCATAGTGCGAGTGTGAAAAGAATGTAGGATGTCCCCTAGCAAAGTAGGCATCGGGTTACGAGACATAAAGATTTTGACGGTGTTCACATCTATGAGTTGGTCACGATTTGGAAACAAAACCATCCCATACATGAGGAGAGACACAATTTCCTCAAAAGCTTGCAAATCTAAAGCGTTCCAACAATTTTGGGCTTTCTCAAACAAGAACCTTGCTAGGAAACCTTTGACACCACTCTTTGTCTCCCAATTAGTTGTGATATCAGATGATTGCAAGTGTAGGGCTTGAGCAATATCTTCTAGCTTTGGATCTCTTTCTGTACTATTGAAAGGTAGTTGATTGAGAATGAGAATCCTCGAGTTGGGAGAATTCTTCCAAAGTTGGCACAAGATGATAATCGGGAAATGTGAAGCAATGGTGTAAAGGATCAAATAACTGGAAGAGCACATTCATCATGTCTTCATCAGTGTTGGGGGTAACCAAGTTTAGTAGGCGACCGTGTCTTTTGGTGAATGGAGAATTTTCAGGAATCCTTGATGCTAGCTCTTTAAGGTAAGGAGGGATCCTTACAAGATTGACTTGAATGGTTTTCCTGCGAATAGAATCCATGTCCTACAAAACCGAACAAAGATAAATCCCAAGATCCTTGAAATGGTTAGTGAATATGAGTATGATGTTATGATGTTTATGATGTTATGTACAAGTATATATATACAAACAAAGCAAACAAGTCCTTATGTTTAGGCTTGCATGGATTCTTAAAGGTAAGTACCCTCTTGAAGTTTAGTTGGCTCAAACTTGTCCTAGCAATAGTAACCGGGTTCTAAGGAGCTCAATATCAATGATTTGTTTCCTTGGGCATTGTTTCAGCGCAAGTCTCTTTAATGGAGACCATAATATCCCAAAAAACCAAACCTCAATGAGTGTAGTATCGAGTATCTATAAACTTCAGACTGCACCAAAGCCGGTCATCTCACTACGTCCTAATGGTCAAGTTGGTCAAGTAAAGGTTCTAAAAGTTCATTAGTACTTCATGACATCACTCAGCGGCCCCGTATTCTCCTTGACTACTCAAGGGCTACCGGTACCCACAAATATGTCGTACTAACGTAACTATTGCTTAGACCATGTCGGTATACCCCGCGCAGTTTCCACAATGTATTGCTACTTACCTATAAGGTATCCCAAATCCGGGTAGAGGATTTAAACCCAAACAAAGAACCATAATGTAAAGCATACAAGTCAAACAATGAAAGCAAGTAAATGTGATCTAACCTTAAGGTAACCCCACTTTTAGAATTTTTCCCCAGCAGAGTCGCCAGTTCTGTGATACAGTGGGAGAAATGACTTGAGTTTTTTGCGTTTGGTCGCAAATGTTGCTATTAGCAAGAGTCGCCACCGACTTTTCTTTTATCCAAAAGGAAAGGTGAAAAAGCACAAGAAATACCTTTGAGATGTTTTCTTGAGTTCTGGGGGTAGATTATGAAAAGGGAATGTATTAGCACCCTTTTCATCCATGGTTTTCCATGGGCTCTTAGTTACTTGCTAGATCACTTACTTTTTGTTTGAAAATGTGCTTTGTGTGGTTTTTGAAAGTACTTTTGAAAAGAGGCCATTGTTTAGGAAAACTTTGTAATGATTCTCGTTCGTAAGAATGTATACAAAGGTGTGGATCTTTTGAAAATGTTTTCAAGTTTTGAAAGATGTTTTGGAAGTGTTGGTGTTTGTTTTGAAAATAGAAAGGGTGTTTTGTTTTGAAATGGAGCAAGTAACTAGGAACATTCTACCTACTCAAAAGTCTTTCATGTTCATTTCCTTTTTCCGTTGACATTGCTATCTTACCATTGATTTGGTATGTAACCCTATCTTTGGATGTAAAAGGGACGGGCGTGGGTCATCGTATAACCATGATTAGAAATGTTGCAAGATATCTTAGCATATTTCTTTAGGGACTAAGATCATTTTGAAAGGCAACTTTTGATAGCATCATCGAGGGACTATGATTTTGTATCTTGCTTGTCTTTGCTAAGATACCTCACATGCGTAATATGGCTATTTTTGTAAGGCAACCAATTGGATTTATCCTAGGGGTGTTTGTGTGCAAGTGTACCGATTTTCATGCTTGATTTGTCTTTGATTAGGGTTTTCTATTGATTGGTTTTATTCTTTCCATACAAAACCTTAATTACTAGCATTTGTATATAAAGCGATAAATTGCGGATGTTGTACCCCAAAATTTACCCTCTTTTCATACACGCATATTATTGGTTTTATGGTTATGAAATAAAGGTATATTTATCAAGCTTCGTCAGGTTACAAGTGACATTTATTTCGCCAATGGATGTCCTCAGAGTATTTTCCGTGCTGAAGATCGGTTCCCGTTTTGCAACGATTTGGGGTTCAAAGATTTACAAGTCCAACCCGACGCGTTATATTCAGGTGCTCTTTCGCCAATATATCTCTAATAACTTATTCTCAAATTCAGATTCGGCTCAAGAGTCAATTCTTTAAAGAAGGTCTCCAAATGTGTGAGTTTTCTCGAAGAAATATGGTGAAAAAGTGTGCTGAAAGTGCAGTTTTTATGCACTAAAAAATTCATAACTTGAAGATCGTGGCTTGTTTTGAACCCGTTCCGGTGGCCAAAATTCCATCTTGACGTCATCTATGTTTTCATCTCTCACGACTGGAAGCCAAATTCGATGATAAGGTCTTCAAAAATGCATATTTATCAAGTATTTTTATACAGAAAATTTGTGACAGAAGTTTATTTGTGTCATGTTCAGAAAATCATAACTTGGTCGATTTTCATCGTATTGAGCTGGTTCCAGCGCCAAAATTTCACAAATTGAGTTGAATACGTTTTCACAAGAGGTATCGAGTTTGAACGTGTTGCACCTCAAAATTTTCCCTCCTAGTTTCTTATATTTGGCTTAGGCTTAGCATTGCATTCATATCTTTCCATAAGGTCATTAACATACATTGGCATTCAATAAAGCGCCTGAGGTTCGAAGTTCAGTGGTTGTGTGATATTAAGGTTTTGCAGTAGTTAAGGTGTTTGTATCCAATAAAGCCTAATTCTTCTGATTATCCTTCAAGCAGTAAAATGTGGAATTAGGGTTGCAACCTATGTTTATTGAGGGTTCTGTTCTCTTCAAGTTAAGGGGGTTATTACTCATTCAAGACAAGAGTCAGAGTGTTTCTCCACCAAGTTTGTGCTTGACAACATTTCATCAACCGAGGTTCATTAGGTTTTCTAAGTCATGGCCAGCTTGGTCATATTTCTTTCTGTATCCCCATGTTCATTTCTAAGTTGTTCTACGAGGTCATCTAAAGGGCTACTAAATCGGGAATTCATTATCTCCTTGTGCTCAACGTCATCCTTTGATTAGGGTTTATTTCTTTAAATCATGTACCATTCAAGAGAGTTTTTTCTGGGAAGTTGTGATTATCAGGCAAGGCTATTATCAGGGGATATCGTCCATGAATAACCAGGGTTTCAATTGATATATCTTTTAAAAAAAATCAGAAGGAAATCATCGCTTGAATCTCTAGTCATGTAGGCAACAACTCTATTCTAGAAAAGAAGATTCAATTGGACCTTCTTCACGAATCAGGGTTCGTACGCCTTATAATGTAAAGCTATTCATCTGGTCGATTGGCTTACCTGCGATATAATCTATGTTGATTCAGATTACATTTCAACGCTTTGAAGATCAAAATCTAAAATCTTTTTATGGAAGTTTAGGATTTATATCCTATCATACTTAGGTTTATCAACATCTCCAATGGAGGTTCATGAGATAATGAGACGTGATATAAGGATGGCATTGTAAATTCATTAAGACCAAGGCGGTTTGGTTCTCTTATTATTTGTTATACAAGGTTGATGGGGATCAACGTGTTGGATCCATTCTCTCATGAAGGACATAGGGTGATGTTAAGGGCCATTTGGTTCATGGTCATCAATTGAAGATTGGGCTCGCTTTATGGCTTATGATATATGTCATTTGCTTTAGGGTTCATTCAGGAAGGTGGAATTCTGATCACGGAGTTTGCTTTAGATTATTTCAAGAGAAATATCATGTGAATTCAACTTTTGTTCAAGAATTGTATTAAAGTTCATTTACCAAGCATGCAAGGTTAGAAAAGGATTCATGTGGATTTCTTGAGAAACAAGTTATTTGGAATTTAGAGCAAATATCAAGTTTATGCATGCATAAGGGCGTTCAAGAATTATTCAAGGCTATTTCAAATTTCAAGATCACAAATCCAAATTTCATTCACCGTTCAAGTGACCCTAATCCAATATCATTCAAGGTTTTCAAGCATTTTTAAGACAGAATTTTAAGTAGAAATTCAAAAAAACCAATTCAAAATGTGAGGCCTTTTTGAGTTATCGTTCGTTACACATTCAAATTTTCAAAATAGCTTCATTCATGGTCGTCCATGGAAACCTTGAACAAAAAGAAAAAAAGAACATTACAAAAGCAAAAGCATGGCAATTGTGCAGTTGTACTATCAGCTGTTAAGATGATCCTTCAACAAATGGAGCTCATGTGGTCCGGAATCTTTGCAAAAAAAGGGCCCCTCCTCTTGTGACATTACTCTCAGCAAAACATGAGATACAATATGTTGCCCTGCGAAATATCAATCTTATCCTATAAAGAAGACCGACAATTCTTGCACATGAAATTAAGGTGTTCTTCTACAAATACAATGACCCTATCTATGTGAAAATGGAGAAATTAGAAATTATGATAAAGCTTGCTACAGACCGAAATATAGACCAGGTTTTATTGGAATTTAAGGGATATGCTACTGGAGTTGATGTAGATTTTGTTAGAAAGGCTGTTCGTGCAATTGGCCGTTGCGCCATCAAATTAGAGAGAGCAGCTGAGAGATGCATTAGTGTATTGCTTGAGTTGATCAAGATAAAAGTAAATTACGTGGTTCAAGAGGCAATCATTGTTATCAAAGACATATTTAGACGATACTCCAACACATATGAGTCCATAATTGCAACTCTTTGTGAGAGCTTAGACACCTTGGATGAGCCGGAAGCTAAGGCATCAATGATCTGGAGAATTAGTGAATATGCAGAAAGAATTGACAATGCTGACAAGCTTCTTGTTAATATTGCTACATTATCTTCTGTTCATCACAGCCACCCATGTTTCTATAATATAATTCAACAGCTATCTCTCAAACTCATTAACCCCAAAAAACGTCTATGTTCATAAACTAATCTACTAATTTGTCATAACTAATCTCACATTACATATACATCCAAATTGTTGTTATTTTTCAGAGTCCAAAGGTCTTGACATTTTTCAAAAGTGTTGTGGTGAGCTTATAGCATGGCGGTTGAAAGGTCTGGAATTTCTAAAGATGTTACAGAATTGATTGGAAAAACCCCTTTAGTATATCTGAACAAAATCACGGATGGTTCTGTTGCTCGCGTTGCCGCGAAACTTGAATTGATGGGGCCATGTTCCAGTGTTAAAGACATGATTGGCTATAGTATGATTACTGATGCAGAGGAGAAAGGGGCTTATTACGCCTGGCAAGAGTGTCTTCATTGAGGGAACGAGTGGCAACGCGGGAATCAAATTGGCCTTCCTAGCAGCAGCAAAAGGCTACAAGCTTATCACTACAATGCCTACTACAATGTGTCTTGAAAGAAGAACCATTCTTCTATATTTTGGGGCTGAGTTGGTTGGTTCTGACAGATCCTGCAAAAGGGAATGAAAGGGGCAGTTCAGAAAGCGGAAGAGATATTGGCCAAGACTCCAAATACATATATCCTTCAACAATTTGACAACCCTGTTTATCTAAAGGTGCATTATGAAACTACTGGCCCAGAGATATGGAAAGAGTTTCTAACCAAGACAAAAACAAAAATAACTGATTCCCTTACCAACTTAACCATAATCAACAACAACTTCTTTGTGATCTCCCTCATCACAGTCTTTGTGATCTCCATCATCATAATCTTCTTCTGCATCATCTTTGCAGCATCTCAACATCAACCATATTTTGCATCATCTTCAATCTCTACTACTGATTCAAAGTCAGATCTTTAATCAATCATCACTACGCTTCGTTCGTGAATCTCTGAATTTTCAATATCTCATCAATTTTTCTGCACAGATCAAAAAGAAAAAAACATCGACATCATAAGAATGTATCAACACAACAACTTCTGCATTCTCAGTTTCAACGCAACAAAAACGCGAGAGCAGGAAAAAGTAAAAGAGAAAGTTGTGAAATTGGATCATCCTAATAAATCTAAGGCATCTCAAATTTCGATACCAAGAAGTTCAAAGTTGATATCAAATCCAACTAAAATGTCGACGTTTGCTTCTTCAACTAAAAAAGAAACTCGCCATCCTTACCTAAGAGACAAATTACTTCAAGTATGAAGCACAAAAAAAAGGGGCCACTAACAAAATTCTCCAACAGTTTCTAACTTGTAACCAATTAACAGGAAACTCAAACAAAATTTTCTAACAGTTCTCAACCGATTCCTAACTATTAACAACCCGTAACCAAATCCCAACTATTATAACTAATTCCTAACAGTTTTCTAACTAACTCTTCACTTCCTAACCGCTTAACTAACTCTCATAAACTAGCTTTCAACAACTAACTTAACCTCCATTTAATCTAACCTTACCTCACTCTTAACAGTAGCCTAACATAATTACTAACTAACTTACAGTTTTAACAAACTTAGTTCCAGCTTATAACTAACTTAAAACCAACCTGCCAGCTCACATAATAGAATTCTAAAGCCCTTAACTAACTCTAACAGTGATATAACAGAAAAAAAGCTAACCTCATAACAGACTTTAGCGGATTTAATCTCCACCTTCCATTGCATAACAAACTCTCATCATCCGAGGGCTCAAGTTCATTCCTCATGACTTCCCTACCTATGTAATCCAAACTCCCTCCAGATTTCAGAGGAGAGGCACCATATTCTCCTTCTCTCTAGTTTCAAACTTCATCCTCCACCATTTTTTTCTTCTCTCTTCCATTAACACGCTTCATCCTTCACCCATAACTCACAAAAATTTCAGAATCCTCTCTCATTCTTCTCTAACCACTACTCTTCAACCTTCAACCCACTATTCATCTTTCACCTACTTCTGAAACCCTGCTTTATCTTCATCAACACCACAAATCACAGAACAATCTGCAACAACTATTGCACTTCATCATCACCATAGCCAAATCTCAACAACTCTTCATGCATCTTCATCACTGCAGTAACACAAATCCGAACGCATCAGCTCCAGTAGCATCTGTGGAATTAAAGAAGAAATCAGAGAAGAAAAGGATAATAAAAAACGAATTGCATACCTGAGCATCAAGTGTCCTCTAATTTCTCCTCCTTGTCGCTGAAGAAGTTGTCGGAGTATCTCTGGTAGGTAAGTAATTTATCAGTTCGTTCTGCATATGTTCGTTTCCTATTCCAAATCATAGTGTATAGTCAGGTGAAGCCGAGAGTTTCGCGCCTCATCATGAACTGTGGTGGTGCGATGAAGAGAAGATGGATTTGTATCTGCAGCATGTTAAAGAAGGAGGGAGGTGGAGCGATTGAAACATATGTGAAGATTTAGGTGATGCAGATGAGTCACAATGCCGTTTTACCATCTGAGAGGCGAAAAGTGAGCCGAGAGAGAATGTGAGGCGGAGGCTTCCGTCGCAGTTTGAAATAGAAGAGAAGGAAAAGTTTTCATCTTGAAAGGAGGCAAAGTTACCAACTGAACCCTAATTTCGTTCTCACAAGTCACTAGTGTATGTTATTGGGCTTGACCAAACCGAGTCACCCAGTCCCATAAGCCCATTGCTGTGTTTTTTTGGAGAGGACTGAAGTCTGTACACAAAAAAATCTCGTTGGATTGGATTTAGTTTGGGCTTAATGCCTATTCAAGTTGCTTCAGCAAACCCCTAGATTACTGACTCGGACCCCCCTGAGTTTAGTAGTTTCTTTTAAAATGTTTGTGATAATTATTTTATTTGAATTTTATTCACATAATAAAAATAATAAAAATTCAATAAAATTTGTTAAATTTCAATTTTTATTTTTTTAGGAATTAAATCAGGATCAACCGATTATTTGAGATTTGTAATTCACCTTTGCTTGTTGAGATTTAAATCTTGTGCAGGTTTATGGTGCGATATGCGAATATGCTTGAAATTTCGATTGTGATTTATTTTCACATCGATGATGCTTCAACACTTATTCCAAGCATTAGATTTCTAACTCTTTTCTTTGTTGGTGCTAGCAGTTCACGAGATCTTCGGGTTTCTTTGCTTCTTTGCTCTGCTCTACGGGCTAGTACTCGTTTGGTATATTTTCTTTCTATTTTCACCCCGCATTTATCTCTTCCCATAGATCGCGTGAAGTATAATAACATTAGGGATAGATTTAGGCTAGTCTCCCTGTAACTTTTCTTCCCTTTTTGCATATTCATTTAAAACAAAACTTCTTATTTTTCCTCACAAACTTCAAAAATACTTAAAAATTGTTGACGAGAATCATGCCTTTGTTGAACATGGGAGATGATAAGCGGGTCTCTTCTCGATCTTATCGTTTTTCCATTCTAAGCTTTGACATGGTTCAAGTCTCAAAGAATCATTTCATGAATAAGTAGAGAAATGGCTAATATCTCTCTCTTGAGATTAACAAGATATTATCTACAAGCAAAAACACAAACACAAAAACTCTTTCGCCTACGGGCCTTTCTTTCAAAACCTTTTCAAAAGAGCGTGTTAATTCACTTCGGTGCTGATGCGTAAGTCTCCAAAGGTCGAGTTGCGGCAGAAGACGAAATTAATATCGCTCATTAAAAACCCAAACAAATTCAAACCTTTTTGTGCGCCCAGGCACATTTTCTCCAAACTTTTTTCAAGAGAGCATGTTAATTCACTTCTATTCTGACGCGTAAGTCTCCAAAGGTCGAGTTGCGGCAGAAGGAGAAATTAATATTGTTTATTAAAAAATACAAACCAACAAAAACATATGAGCCGAACTACGGCTGCTCTGATTCCTTAAAAGGGATACGTAGGCATTGGGGTAGGGCCTGAACGAGCACAACAATTTTATTTTCCCTACATTCTTTTCTCTTTCTTTTTGCATGCATTCTCCCTTCAGTAGTATACTAAACAGTAAGCATAGATTAAAAACACCCATAAGATAGATAATAAGAGTGGATACCGTAGAGTACTACGGGCGTGTGGGGTGCTAATACCTTCCCCTCGCGTAACAGACTCCCTTACCCGATCTCTCAGTCGCAAGACCGTGACTTCCCCCTTCTCAAGTTTTATCGATGTTTACCTTTCCCTTCCTGTGGGATAAAATACGTTCGATGGCGACTTTATTGTTTTATGATTTTCAGCCAGTTGTTTCAGCTGGCGACTTCATTGGGGACAAGTCGACCAAATGCTGGTCCATCCCGGAGTCGATCCTAGCTCTTGCTTTCTTTTATTTGGGTGTTTATTTTTATGCTTTCAGTTTATTCGTTCATTTTAAATATACCTGTGCATAAATTACATTTTACTATCTTCCATATACTGTTGTTGTACTGGATCTGCTTCTTGATTGGGTGGGGATGTTACTATTGACGTAAAAGGCCCAGTACCCAGGCCAGAGTGCACTAGGACACCTAGGAATAGAGTGGGGGATGACGGCTATAGGACGTGGTCCCATTAGTGCAGTCATGTCATATACCACGCTCGGATGAGGTTCAATGGGAGGTACTTTCATCATGCACGTCTGTGTTGCGATGATTGTACTTTCAGGCGAACCCGTGATTTTCGAGTTACCATTATCTCACCCTGACCATGTCTTCACCCGTGAGCAGAGAGGGAATTTTATCACAGGTACATTTGGTCACTATATTCAGACGGTTACTTTTGGTTATATCTTGGATTTCTACCAACAATTATGAGTTTCTCAGATTTATTTTTTGAGGATCCAACTAAGGTCTTCATGTATTTTCTTCAGGTTACATTTCAGACCTGTAATCTCGGTATTAACAAGAATATGAAGAGGCAGTACAACAAAAATCAGTATCATGGAAGTAGTAATCCCATGATCATTTGCACACACATCATAACATATTTACTTTTCAAAAAAATATATATGTGGGGTTGAAGAAGTTCAACATCTGGACCAACATGTTATGTAAGATGTCACAACATCAGCATATGACATCGCGCCTGAAATTAAGTACTAATTAAGTAACTATGTTATATGTTGAATGTTTGTAACAGCTGTGACTTGTAACCTAACTATTCTAAGTGATCTAAATTATGAAAGAGGTTATTTGTTGTGTTGAAGAAGTTCAACATCTAGGAAAACATGTTAGATGTAATGTCATGACATCTGACTTGACATCACGTCAACATAATTGATAATTCAGTTACAGTTCTGGTACTTAAATACTCTGAGAATATATGTGGCGTTTCTTATGGAGAATCTGAAGATCAATCAAGAATCAATCAGAATATTTGAAGAAAATACTGTTTCTAAAATATGGAGATATTTTAGGAACTAAAAGATTGAAGACCTTGATTATAGGAGAAGTTTGCTGCTGAGTTGTAACAGCAAGGAGAAAAGCTTGCTGAGATTTTTGAAGGCCCAAATCCAGTTGGGTAATAGGTTATAAATAGCAGATTGTAACCTAGGGTTTGGCACTCTCAAATAATGTAACATTGGGGGTGTTTTGTTAGGTAAACCTGTCGGTCTGTGGCAAGGTTACCATGTGTGTAACTCGATACCTGTAGGTAAGGGTTTGAGTGTTCTTGGACGAAGCTATGAAGCAAGTCTAAGTGTTTCTGCATTACTTCATATACATTGTAATGTAGGAAATCAAGTGGGAAGGCTCTACTTCTTGAGTAGGAGTAAGACTTCTGTTGCTGCGGCAATAGGAATGGAAACTGGTAGGTTTCTATCTAGGAGTTCCTAGGTATAGGTTGCACTGGGTAGATGATTAAGTGAAGGATGGGAACTTGTGAAGTTTAGTCCTGAATTAATATTGCTGATAGTGGATCTTCTTCCTGGCTTGGTATG